CAGTTCAAATCCGCTGCTATTTTTACCATTCAAAGACATATAAAGGTCGTATCAAGGTCATTTGGAAGTCAAATCGAGAAATATGGTATAAAAAATCTGAGAAAATTTATACGTATGTTTTTGGAGTAGCCGAGTTAAAATCCGCTGTCAGTTTCACCCCTGTAGGACATCTGAAGGTCATATGAAGGTCATATCAAGGTCATTTGAAGGTCTAATCGAGAAAATCGTACTAAAAATATGAAAAAATGTATACGTATGTTTTTGGGCTAGCTGAGTTCAAAGTCGCTGTTATTTTCACCATTTAAGTACATCTAAAGGTCGTATCAAGGTCATGTCGAGGTCATTTGTAGGTCAAATCGAGAAAATCGGTCTATAAAATCTGAAAAAATGTATACGTATGTATACGACTCCTGACCAAATGAGGCGAAAACATAAAGGAGGCTAGCCAGTTAAGGCAATTTTCCGGTCAGTTAGGTAGAAATATAAGCGTGGTCAGCCAATTAAGGCAAGACGAGTGAATGTCCTAGCGAGTTAAGGTATGAACAAGAATGTGTCCAGCCAGTTAAGGCAAGACGAGTGAATGTTCCGATATTCAGTCGTGTTGACTTAATTGTCTGGACGCGCTTATATTCTTGCCTTAACTGGCCGGGACATATAGTCGTCTTGCCTTAAGTGGCTTGACACACTCTTTTTCCTGCCTTAACTGGTCGGAACATTCACTCGTCTTGCCTTAACTGGCTGGACACGCTTATATTTCTACCTAACTGACCGGAAAAATGCCTTAACTGGCTAACCTCCTTTATGTTTTCGCCTCATTCGGTCAGGAGTCGTATACGTACGTATACATTTTTCAGATTTTTTAGACCGATTTTCTCGATTTGACCTACAAATGCCCTAGACATGACCTTGACACGACCTTTAGATGTACTTAAATGGTGAAAATAACAGCGGCTTTGAACTCAGCTAGCCCAAAAACATACGTATAAATTTTTCAGATTTATTAGTACGATTTTCTCGATTAGACCTTCAAATGACCTTCATATGTCCTTCAGGGGTGAAACTGACAGCGGACTTTAACTCAGCTACTCCAAAAACTCTATAAAAAAATAAATATAACATTTCTCAGATTTTTTTAGACCATATTTCTCGATTTGACCTCCAAATGACCTTGATACGACCTTTAGATGTCTTTGAATGGTAAAAATAGCAGCGGCATTGAACTCAGCTACCCCAAAAACATACCTATGAATTTTTTCAGATTTTTTAGACCATTTTTGGCCATTTAGCCAACCTCGGATTCGAAATCAGCGATTCAAAAAAACAATAAGTACCCTGGTCAGGTCCGGTGATTATTCTTAGATCAGATGTTGACCTGTGTTATTAGCGGAAATCTTCGTAGATTGACTTTAAGAATCTAGGATGGCTCGTAAGGACACACTGTACAATCAACGCTGCTACAGTTGCGTAATGTGTTCATATTTTTCGTGTTCCGTTCTGGGTCAAGCAAGTACCAGCAGGGTCTGTGGTGGTAACCTAAAATAATCCAATATAGGAGCCGTTAGTTCAAGCATTCTTTTTCCGTCCCTTCATTCAACCTCGGCAGAGTTTAATTGGATTTAGGGCCCGAAACGCAAATTTTATTCAACGTCGATTAAAGAGTTGGAGGCAGTGATATTGGGACTGCATAAAAACTGAATTTCAGTTTGGAAATTGGTCCGAAAGAGAGCCATTTAAACTGTATCATTACTTTTCCAGTTCTATTTTGTTTAATTAGTTTCCGCCCAGTCCTGCTACATCCGCGTAAATTTAAAGAGTTTTGGAATTACACGGAAAAAAATTATGTTAAAAATGTGTACGATTGTAGCGCTGTTGAATACGATTTATACAACTGCAGTATGGCTCATATATTTCCAAATAATTTATGTTCGATATAGGGCATTAAACTTTACTATAATTCTGTGAAATATATTCTGCTTTCTATTTTTTTAAAATAAATTGCTTTAAATTTTTATAAAGTACAGCTTCTGTCACAGTATTTTAGAAGATTTTTAAAATACCTTTGAAGATATTTACAAATTTTATAGTAATTATTTTAGAATACTAGACGTATATACGTACGACATATAACATACATTAGCACGTCCGTATATGTGGCACGTATTTATTAAGTGGACAAAAAATGAAGCAATTATAGCTCGTTCAGTTTTTTTGGGACATGTACTTCTAAGGATTATATGACGCAATAAATATTCCTTTTCCAGTTGGGGACATACAGCAACAAGAATTTCATATGCACCGGAAATAAATATATTTCCATTTGTTGCACTTCTCCGATTCCAATGGAAAATATACCCTTGCAATAAATCCTAACGGTAAACAGCATGCAAAAGATCTAGAGGATTAATAGAATGCAATTTGTACGGCATAGCGAGGCAGTCGTCCTTTCATGAATTCTTTCTGTAGCCAGGACCATCTGAATGATTAAAGCGCAATCTGAAAGGCGTACTTTTTTACCAGAAAGTAATGCGAGAGGGTCTGTTTGTTTCCATTGTAAAAGTGCAGGGAAAATGTAGGTATAACTAATCTTGTAACAAACAATGCGTCCTGGAAAACAATAAAGCTTTATATTGATATGTAAGCAATGTTGACTTGAGTTTATGTTCAATTTTTTTTATATTTTCAAAAGATTGAACGCTCATTTCGCCATTTTTTAATTTTCAGTAGTTTTATATAAAAAACCTGTCGTGTCATAATATGAATATTTGTCCAACAGATTTGTAGGTATTTCACAGATTGGTTTTTAGTAACTGGTCCGAAACACCAGACCATCATGTCTATATATGTTTTTGGGGTCCCAGAATCCGAATATGGGGTCTGTTTAACCCATCAAGTCAAGATCAAGGTCCAGCGTTACATTTTCAAAATTCAAGATGGCGGATCCAATACGACGATCCGAGTATTAAAAATGATAAAATATTGAGATAAAAAATATCGTCGAATTCTACATGAAATTTTATAGTGCCAAAAAATCTGCGGAGTGAATTCCTCTTACGTTTTTTTGATTTAACAATAAATTAGAATATTCCAATATTCATAAATTTTTTTCTTGGAAAATATGCTTCTAATCAAAAAATAAACACTTTTTCCTTAAAATTTCATATAGAATTTGACAATATATTTTAAAATTTTTAGTATCCGGTCCTCCATATTGGATCCCCCATCTTGAATTTTGAAAAACTAACGCTGGATCAGCGACCCCAAAAGCGTATATGAGTGGTCAAATTTTCTGCATTAACTTTTTTCGCGATATGATCTTGGATTGACCTTAACCCTGACTTGATCGAGTTAAACGTTACCTCAGATTCGGATTCAGCGACCCCTAAAACATGGTCTGGTATTTTGGACCAGATACTTTTTCATGGTGCTGTGACATACGTATTAATACAAAAACACATTCGTGATAGGTAAGTCCAATAAAATGAGCCTTTAAATCGCAATTTTGGTCAACTTGCCTGAATTTTTGATACAAGTTAGTTTGAGATATGTATATAATAACAATAAGTGACAGTAACTTTTTTCGACCCCCGGCCAGGGGTGGAAAAAGATGGGTTTTTCAAGATAACTCAAACGGGGTAAGAACTAAAAAAAAGTTTCTTATAAAAGTTGTAGAGCATAAAATTCTACATAAAAATGATTACTGACTTTTTCCTGTACTATTAAAATTAACAGTTAAGTTAAGGAACGATTTCAGAAATTTGAAAAATGATCAGCAGAAAAATGAATGAATTTTATAGTTTTTTTTTTAAATATACTCTAAAAAATGTAAACTATTTTTTCAGAGAAATATATTGTATAGATATATTTTTTAATTTAACAGGGCAACAAAATTTAACAAAAGATCACACTAAAAAATTAGACCTAACTTATCCAAAGGTTATTCGTGCGCAGAAAAAAACGTGTTTTTTGCACTTTTAGGTTAGAATATCTCGAAAACGTGACGTATAGGAGCAAATTGTGACGCCGGACCTGGATTCTGCGGACCAAAAACCCTCGGGCAAGTGAGGTCTGGTTTTTGGGTGTGAAAATTGTTGTCCTATATTTTTAATAAAAGAGTTGTAACAATTTCACCAAGCGAATGTCATTTTTTATCTTACAATTAGTCGTAAAACAAAATTTCGGAAGCCACTTTTCATTATTTCAAATAATAATCAATCGAATGGCATAGAAAAAAATTGTTATAGTGTTAAATCATAAAATCCTTTAGAGGAAATTTTTTGAACTTATTTGAATTAGTTTAATACCTTTACAGTAGAGTTAAAAAATGCCAGAGCTACTAACGAATATATTTTTTAAACGAAAATATGTAACATTTTGTAGTGGTACGCTAGAATTATATTTAATACCTGCCCCAATAAATATATTTTGCTTTCTGGGAATTTACGAACCACATAAATTATACTTTGAATTATCCGAGATTATCCCAAATAAATATATTTAGCAAATGAGATTAGAATAAGTAGGCTGTAAACATAAATTAGATGTTGTTTATTAGGGTACATAAGCACAAACCGAGTAGGCAATGACCCGGATAAGTGTTAATTAGGACAGGGTAATAAAAGTAGGTACCTGGGGGCAAGTATAAAACCGAAAACATTTCGAGGCACGAACCAGAAGTGTTGAAGCCTAGTTCCTGCTCGGTTGTGTCTCGTGTTACCAGCGAAATTAGTAGAATAAAGTAGAGTTTTGTCCTCACTTGAAGACCAAACCACTATAACTTCACTTATCAAATAAAGCCAAATATTGTGTGCTACCGAAATCAGAACATTTTCTCACAATCAGTTTACTTCCAATTCGGAAAAGTTGTGGGCCATCTTCAGGCCTCACTTCCACGACCCCGTAAAACCTCCCCCTCCCCCGCAACCGCCCTTATTTCCTCGTCATTTACCTGCTAATTGCAGCTTGCGATAAATCAGGACTCACCGCCGGCCGCTCTGTTTCAGGGAACTCCGAGGTGGACCCGTGTCCGAGCATCGCGTCCTTCCGGCCGGGCTCCGTAGCCCTGACCAGCGACCAGCTAATGCCCGGCGATCGGATATACAGCGTGAATGGGATCACGACGTCCAGGATGCGGCCGGAGGAGGTGACCACCCTACTGGACAACGTGGACGGCAACGCTATGCTGGAAATTGAATATTCATTACCGAATTACGGTGAGTGGCTGGATATATTCGACCGTTTTTGACTGTTCCGGGTGAATGCTCTATAACCCGGGGGGGTTATTGCTTTATTCATCGTTACGAACAGTACCGTAACGGCATCAATTCATAGGCCATAATTTACACAAAAAATATCCGGAATTTGTCATTTAAAAATTCCGCGTAAAGTAGATTTAAATTTATTAAAGTAGTTTGTTTGCAGCTGTTAATTTTCTTGTAAGCTATGGACTGGCCCCAGAAAGAGAGATCAATTGCGCTGATGTGCGCAAGGCAGATAAAGCTAGTGCAGACAAAAGCCGATAAAACAAATAACGGTACACCGGTGTACCGATACAAAAAATACCGTAAACATACCTTAGAGTAAAATTTCTTAAATTTTTTTGTGTGATTAGTGTATGTGAAATATTTGCGAAAACTAAATATGGTGCAATCGTGTTTAGCGACCAATTGCATAAAGGGACGTTTAAAACCCATTACTGACCAAAACAAGAAAAACACATTTTTTAATGATATTTTTTATTAAAGTAGGTATATTCAAAACACATACATTAAGACTATTGAAAAAAATCATAAACAGTATTTTGAAAAAAAAAACACGTCCCGTAGTGATGTCGGATGTGAATCCGGCTGGATTCGGTACAAAGGAACGAGTTCGCGGTAGGATCGAAATGAATCGAGTCCGAAAAGTCAATCCGAGTCGTTCCACGTTCCATGTATCGAATAGGTACCGGAACTACCGATACCGAAGAAACAAACTTCGGATCTCGGAGAACCACGCCGCGTCTGGCGCACGTGTAAATCGTAAATCTTATGTTAGCTGCAATAAATGTTATATGGTACCTACGATACTTTTCTTTGTTTTGATTAGTAGATTTAAATTTTTAAAGTTTGTATATATTATATATTCTTTCTTGTATAAGTACACCTATCATAACGAAATATTTGCCTTCGCTTAGAAATATAAACATATATTTCTACGATTCCCTCTTTGAAATATGAAAAATAATCATTTTTCATTATGATTTAGTTTTAATTCACTTTTAATTACTTTTTTTTCATAAGCAAAACAGTGCATGCATTTTTTGAATGACTGGCAATAGATTAAATCGATTTGCCTTTTATTTTATGTTCATCTTATGGGTTTGTCTTAGTTAAACGCATCGACTCGTATTATCCAGTCATTAATTTAACAAATTTAAAAATAATAAGTGACTTACTTTATTTTACTTATATATTTTGCCAATAAGTAAATATTTATATTTACTAAATGTAAATATAATCATTTTTAAATAATTACTTTTAATTTATTTGCATTTAGGTATTAACTGTGTACTCTTTTTTCAAGTGTGTAGGATTATTTTAAGTATCATCAATGGCATAATAATCATATAAAAGAACAAATTGTGAAGAATTTAAATACCAAGCGCCGAGTATCTAATATCTAATAACCAGCTGTTCAAGTTCATATGAATCCGTTGCTGAAGCATCGAATTTATATAGCGCGCCCCATCTCTCAGCACTGTACTGCGTGTTGCCTCTATTCAATCTCTTTCCGAGGAACGAACCCGCCGGACTCGTTCCGTGTGCTGGTTGAACCTGGAATGAATGAGTCCACAAAAGTATCGAAACTTCCCATCACCTGTATACGCACCTTTGGCTGCACTAAAATTAATTAACTAAATTAGATTTTTATGTGAAAATTTTCAAAGTAAGCTGGATGCAAATGCACTTTACACAAATAAATAGTATTATTTTTGCGAAAACACTTTTTTCGTGCACTATTAACCTCTCTATAATATAATATGCCCGATAATGTCAAATTTGACTTCACCTGGTAGAGCGGATTGAGAGGGTCTTCCATGGGTTCAGTTGAATACTGAATTTAAAGCAACATCGCTGTTTTCTGTATCTACAGAGTGCTAAATCCGAAAGAAATTTTACCTGAGATTTCGTTGTGTGCACAGTGTAAAGTGCATTTGCATCCAGCTTACTTTGAACATTTTCACATAAAAAACTAAAAACGTCATCTTCCAAATCATAATCACTATCTATACTTGGTTGTATTGCATACGTTCCTGCAATATCCGTCTACAATCCCTCTTCTCCAATAATATTTTCGTCAAAGTTTTCCTCATCTGTAATTTCATCTGTTTCTGGCGACACATAAAAAACATCAACCGATTCAGCATTTTCACAATCTGAATCCTCTTCTAACAAAGCAAGTAACTCTTTAGTGGTTAGTGCCCTTTTCATTTTCTATTTTGACAAATGACTGTAATAATATAAACAAAATTATACCTTCTTCTATACAACACAAAATCTCTTACCTCATATTGGCACTAGATGTATCCAAAAAAATAACTATTATGCATTACAAGAAACTTTAGTTCAAACAATATTTTATACAAAACTACACTTTTTTACACAAAAGAACACTTGTTCTGACAAGTCCTGTATTTTATATGCCAAGATTTGTCCAGACTTGCATAGGAATGCATAAATATGTCAATCGCTATCGGCCAAAGGTGCGCGTACGCATCCACTACATATATGTATCATTATGACCATCGTTTTGATAACATATTATGTAAAAAAAAAACTACATGAGTATCAAAATAGATATTTTATTTACGCCTGGCTCAAAAAAATACTCTGCTCGTTTTTACCAACTTAGAACAATATTTGTTTCAAAATGTGTTCTAAAGTTTTAAATATCCTAATTTCTTTTAAAAAAATAATATTAAAACAATATTATTTTTAGTTAAATAAAAATACTAGTACACTCTCTGGACTGTTGAGTAAGATTCTGTAGGTAGGAAAGCATAGAATTTTACGGATGATCTCAAAAAAAAATTTAAAATAAAAGGGTGCGCGTTTACGCACCTTTGGCCGTTAATGGGTTAAGTGGAGAAAAAAATAAATTTTCTAGGTAGGAAAGATGGTACCAACATGTTTATTTTTCGCATCTTTCTGAAAATAATGACCAAGTAGAGTTGTTTCTGATGATAACTTATTAGATTATATTATTTCCCCCATCCTCAGAAATAAGATGTCATTTTAACGTTAGATATGTTACTCTTCGAATTATTTTTTAACATCAAACTGAATACAAATAAACAGTTTCAACTGAATTATGCTCATAATGTTGTTCAGCAAAAATTCTCTTTAAATAATAAGTTGAACAAGGAAAGCATCGATATAGTTTCAATTTATGCAGTTTTGCATAAATTACTTCAGAAGTGCTTGGAGTAATTTTAACTGATCGAGCTTACGACATGAGGAAAATAAATGGAGAAATACATAAAGAAGGCTTTATAAAAACAATTTGGAATATTAGAGCTAAAACAATTCAAGTATTGCACTGAGATTGGTATACACTACTGGAATAAATATATTTCATTTTAAATTTCTAGTTATTAAATTCTCCCTTTAATACCTCCAATTTGTACAGAAATTCCATATAAACAAATAAGTTATCTTGTTCAAAATTCTTTCGGGTTTGATGGAAAATTGATGGAAAAATGTGTAAGAAATCAAAATTTCTTTTACAGCCTAAAGCCTTTGCAAACCCCAAAGGATAATACAGAGGAAAGTTATTCTAATTAAAAATTGCAAAGATGCACATTTTTCGAGAAAAACGAAGGAATATTTGTTAAAGGTTAACACTAAAAAAAGATTAACAATAAAAAAACGTTTAGCATTAAAAAAATCTAATTCAGTAAATCTCGATTAATTAGCAATTTTAATTTCCTTAAAGTAATTAGTTTGCTGTATTTTACGACAATTAAAGGCTAAATAATTTTTTTTTAAATACAAAAGCAAAAGATATTAATTTACAAAAGTAAATAAAGTGCATTATTTTTTTAAATGTAGTTAAAATTATATTTTAGAAAATTTAATACAGTAAAAGTAGCAAATAGTCACCCTCCACCTCCAATAATGAATTTTGACAAAAATTAGCAGTAAAAATATAAAAATGTACATACAGTTTACGAGAACATCTGGTTAGTATTTTTTTAAATTTAAATAATATATTTCCTGAGAATAAAAGTTATTCTAAGGTTAGCAAAGTTATTATAACCTAAGCTTTCATGCATATTAAAACTTCTCCTACGAAGACCGCAAAAGTTACCCGACGTTATTATTTTTGAAGGGACACATACCGGATTAAGTGCCCCCTATGTTTTTGTAGCTAAAGGCCACTGATAGAAAGGATTTTAAATCGCATTATCCAGATTAGGACCGCTTACCGCCTACATCCTAGCATGGTCCTGATTCCTTCAATTCATTTTATTTTGGTACAGAGAAGATACTAAGGTTATCTCAAATAATTAATTAATGAGTGTTAACAAAGCTAAAAAAAAAGGATAAAGTAAACTATAAAGCCATTCAATCGTCTATAATTAGGAATTTAGTTTTTTCGAAAAGTGTCACAAAATGTTGACATTTAATTTTAAATAACTTTCTACAAACATACAAATTTTCACGTTGATAATTTCACCAGTATTTACTAAGTTCATTTTATTATTTTCTAAAAAAAAAATAACAACACGCTAATATCTTAAAGGCATCATTTATAGAATCCTCAAACTTCATTAATATTAGGTGGCTTTGGTTACTATTTAGATTGTCATCATGTGATCAAGTCAACAGTTTTTTCGTAATTTATTTCAATAATTTTAACTCTTTGGCAATGTTTGTAACTTATTTAGATATTGTCATTTAATTTTTGCCATTTCGATTAACAAATTGTTTTTAGAAAATAGTAAAATGCACCCTGTCAGTGCGCCACTGGTGAAACAATCAACGTCAAAATTGGCACGTTTACAGAAAGCAATCAGCAAATATTTCCTCCACGCAAAAAATCATTCTTACGTTCATTGAAAATATTTTGCTTAAAGTGACCTTCTCTGTACGCTCTACCGAAGTTCGGCTCATTAAAACGGAAGCACCCTGTATAAAATATTCTGCTAGATAACATTTTTCAAGCAGTC